TAAGATTCTCAACAACCTGGGTTTCTGGATACCAGGAATCCTGTGGGCCTCAGGAAGCTCCTACACAGCATATAGTTGGAATTTCCTAGCACTCCTAGGACTTAAGAGATGGTGATGTCACCCTGGTCTGCCATTCTAATCAGTGGGTAAATCCAATCCTAAGAAGAAGTCTAGCCATGATTGGTGGTCAAAGCTGTAACTTATCCTCTCAGTGCCTTTAGCTCAAGGCAGGATCCCGGGGTCCTAGAATTGAGTCCTGCATCGGGCTTCCCGCAGGGAGCCTGCTTCTCCCTCTGCCTGTGTCTCTGCCTCTTTCTCTCTCTGTCTCTCATGAATAAATAAATAAAATCTTTTTAAAAAAATTTAGCTATTCATTTTAATCATTATTCTTCATATTATTTTTTCTACTGCTATTCATTAACTTGAAGAATTTTTTTCAAAATATACACAAACTGCTTATTAGGTAATGGCTATAATACTAACACAAGAATGTAAATAGTTGGATGGGAAATTTCAAAGTATTTTGGTTTGTAAGTATAATGTTGAAATAGTCTTAAAATCTGATGTATAAGTCCTAAATGTCTTTTTTTTTTTTTTTTTGAGAGAGAGAGAGAAAGAGCAGAGTGGAGAGAGACAATCTTAAGCAGGCTCCATGACCAGCATAGAGGCTGACTTAGGGCTTGATCTCAGAACCCTGAGATCGTGACCTAAACTGAAATCAAGAGTCAGATGCTTAACTGATGGAGCCACCCAGGTGCCCCATGTGCTACATTAAAAAAAAAAAAAAAAAAAACAAATATAGAAAGCATTTTTTCACTCTTTAAATTTTTAATCATTTATATCATGGCAACATTAAAATAAAAGTTGCTGACAGTTGTTTAAACAAAACTTGCAGTAGTTCTATGGAAAAAAAATACAATTTACAATTAGGTAACCTTTTGAGGATTTCTATTTGTGATTTTCTAAACGTTGTGGTAGAATCTGTTCTTCATCTTCTTCATCTTTGGTACTCTCTTATAGTCAGTGGAAGGGATTGATTTGGCCTTCTTTTAACAATTATGTTTGATTTCATGTTTTTTATCTGCTTGGTTGACCTATAGTTTTTATAAATATTTGACTCTTTTTGTTTGTTTGTTGTTATTTGCTATATATATAAATTTGGAGTAAAATTGACACTTGGAGTTTCCCTGCCGTTCCTTACTTTGCTATATAAAGTGAAGGTGTGCACAACCACACCTGCTAATATCCTAGAAGCTAAGATATCATATGAGCACTGTGCTTTCAGTAAAGGTGGTGTCATCTGGAAAGTGAACTGATTGCAGACCAGAACTTCTCTTACACTTTTGCTGGCCAAAATTGGATTTGGGGACTAATTTGCTATTTTGCATGATCTACTTTAAAAATTTTAATATATATACACACACACATATATAAATAAATATATATATGCATGTATATATACATACAGACATCACACGTGTATACATATGTATATATGACATATATTTATATATATACATACACACAGACATAACACACACACACATATGACTTCATTTTAAATGGTTACCTAGTTCAAATGCACTTAACTGGATTTACAGAAAATGTAACACTGTAACGTAGTCTCCTTTTTTTGGGTCATCCTGTGACAATAAGACAGGAAGCACATACAGCATTTAATAAAGATTCATGGGTTATTTTTCCCTTCCAGCATGTGTTTCAGAGCAGATTCTTAACTTGATGTCCAGAACATGTAACACAAAAATAAGAAGTAGCTATATGCTGCTAAGTTAGTTACTAAGTCCAAATGAGACGGCTTACATTAGGAGTGCCTGTCATGGCTTTTCGGACAGATGTGAATTTCAAGGAGAAATGCTCTTTATTTTCAAGAACATGTTTCCCCACATTATAGTTGTCCTTCATGTGGCCTACTCAGTTCTTTAATTTTATGCTAGATCTGAGTATGTGTCTGTTGTCGACATCACTGGAATCTTTGAGTAGATCTTTTTTTTCTGGCCTGGTCACGTGAAGCACTAGGGTTTGAATAAGAGTCCCAGAAGTGCTCTGGGAATGATTTTTGTATTGCCAGGAATGCTGATATGTTGGCACTGAATTAATGTCTCCAAAAATGCCATTAAATGCTAACTGAAAACAAAGTTACTAGTGTTGTCGCCACAGCTGTGTTCTCTTCACCAGTTTCTTCTATGCACAGCAAGAAATTTTAAGTCCCGTAGCATAAGATGAAAGTGAGTCAGTCTTGTGTACTATATTATAATGCAGCTGGTTGCCCACCGCCTCCCTCCACCCCAGTGATTCTGCATGTTGGGATTGAATTTAGCTATTGTGTAGAATTCTGCCTGCATCGTGGATATTGTGGGTTTTTTTTTTTTTTTAAACAAATGGAGTACCTGTGAGGGACTGGGGTGCCCAGTGTAATACGGAAGAATTTCACTTGTTCATTAAGTATTTATTGAGCACTCTCTCAAATACTCAGTTTTTAAAGAGCATAGGGTATATATATGAATTTCTCTGCTACAGTGTGAAATATGAACACCATAGGAAACCCAAGTATAAGGTCTGTGAGCACCCAAAAGTGAGAGAGAGTTGATGGAAGGGACTTGTGAATGAGGCCTATATGAACTGGATGCTAAAAGTGGTTGTAATTTGAATATGTGGAAATTGGAAAAAAAAAAAGAGCACTTATATCAAAGGAGAGATGGCCTGGAGAGAAAAAAGAAAAGGAGCTCAAAAGTGCTAGTGAGTTAGGCTTTTTGAAAGATGGAGTGGGCAGGTCAACTGTGGGCATGAAATGCCAGATTGAAAAGTGAGCTCCACTGAGCAAATGGTAAAATGGTCATCTAGGTTATCTTGTTCCAACAGTAGAGAGGATAAACTCCTCCCGTCCTGAACCTTGGACCTCTCTGCTTGCTTTTGGGTCTGCTACTCCATATTTTGTGATATGAGTTTCTCAGTAGACCTTTTTTGAGTGTGAATGCCATTCTTGATTTTCCACTCTTGATTTTTGTATTGTGTTTCTCCTAGTAGGACCACATTTTCTCCTTAGGGAATAAAAATCCTTTGGAAATTTTGACCTTTCTCATTTATAGGTCTAATACTTAATTTACAAACATAATAGTACTTAAATGGTCTAAAAGTGACTTGAACTTTTACAGTACAATCCTACTTGCTCTTCCCATTCAGTGTAATTTTATCAGCTAACTTTCTAAAGTTCCATATTTGGAACGAGATCATGGTGAGTTAAAAACATTAGAGGTGCCAGTGGATCAAAGTAGAATTACGTGGATCTATTAATTGGAATCTGACAACCTCAGATAGTGGGAAAGACAGGCCAGAGGCCTGCCTGTCTTCTCCCTTTCTCCTTTTCTTTCCTCCTCTTCCTCCTACCCATCTATACAGTTATCCATCTATTTTCTTAAAATTTTTGTATTGGTGTATAGCAATGTTACATTAGTTTCAGGTATGCAGCATAGTGATTTGACAGCTGTATGCATTACACCCTGCTTGCCACAAGTTAGCTACCATCTGTCACCATACAACAGTGTTACAGTACCATTGGCTATATACCTATGCTGTACCTTTCATCCCGCTGACTTAGCTCAGTCCATAACTAGAAGCCTTTATCTCCTACTTCCCCAAAGTATAGCATACTTCATGAATTTGCATGTCAACATCCTGCTAGTCTTCTTTGTATTGTGCCAATTTTAGTATGTGCTGCTGTGAAATAGGCACATATCCATTATTTTTTATTAAACTCTTTTGAATACTTAAGCAAATAATGAAGTAAAGCATTATGCATAATATTTATAGAACTTGTTTAAAATAATAATTCCTGAATCTTTGGATGGGGGAAGTAGGGATTTACATTTTGAGTAGGCTTAAAAATACTTGATTCTCATTACAGTGGTCCAGGTATTACACTTCCAGAAACACTGAAATAAAAGCAAGGAAGAGTACTTCTTTGGCCAATAAAATTTATGAGTGTGATTGCCTAATATTTATTTCATATGGACTCAAATGGAAAAAAAAAAAAACTTACCTGGTGTGGAGTGCCTGGATGGTGCAGTCAGTTGAGCATCCAACTCTTGATTTTTGGCTCAAATCATGATCTCAGGGATCGTGATCTCAGGGGTCATGAGATCAAGCCCCACGTCAGGCTCCACGCTCAGAACAGAGTCTGCTTGAAATTCTCTCTCCCTCTGCCCCTCCCACTTTTGTGCTCTCTCACTCTCTCACTCTCAGATAGATAAATAAATCTTATAAAAAATAACCTAGTGGATAACGTATTTATAGTTGGAGAAAATTATATGCATGAATAAGAGTGTGCCACAAGATGGAAGGTAAAGTTGTCCTCCTTCTCCACAAAAGGCCAGCTTGGTTATAGTTTTCCCTACAAAACAATGCAATTTTAGGATAAATAAAGATCAGCTATTAGGTTTATGACAAGTGTATGATAAAGTTGTTGTTAATCTTTTTGGTTTGACTTTGAACCATCTTTTAATTATTTCATGTTACCTGTTTTCCCCCCATCAAGAATAAACTGTTTGAAATATCTTTCTGTAGCTGGGAAATAATGATGCCCTGAAAAAAATCTGTGTGAGTGGTTCTCTAAAGTAATTATATATTAACTCATCAACACCACCAAAGAGCATAAAATGAGACATTTTCTCTTGGTCCTATCTCAGACGTTATAGATCAGAATCTCCTGGTGAGAATTCCAAAGTTCTCAGAGGGATTCTACTGTAGCCAGCCTGCCTCCCTCCATGCTGTAGCTTCATGAACTTTTTTGAGAATATCTGAATACATTTGAATACATATTCAAATGACTTGTTTCACATCCTTTTTCTTACACTGTCAAGTTTTATACATTGTTGGAGCTCACTAAGTTTTTATAAAATACTTATATTGGATATTTGATGGGAATGTTAAGAATTCAGTTTTATTCTTGAATTAGAATGTTTTGTTGTTATTGTTACCCCTAGGATGGAAAGAAGAAGTTTGACAAGGAGAGTGAAAAGTACTATTCTATTCTTGATAAACATTTAAATTTGTCTGCAAAGAAAAAGGAATCTCATTTGCAAGAGGTAAGCTTTTCCACTCAAAATGTGAAAAGAACATTAGCATTAAGTTATGTGAAGTCCATATTTCCAAAGGTGATAGTATCTCAGAATCTGCTGCTCTTTATAAAATGATGACATTAAGAGTTAATTGAGCACTTACAGTGGACAGACCCTGTGTTGAGCATTTCACATGCTTTATGACCCTTAATATTAATAGTTCCAAGTAAAAGACTAGTTATTTCATACAATGTTGAGAAAGAATGAAATAAGATTTTTTTTCTTTTCTTCTTATTGGGCAATTTTTCGACAGCAGGACCTATCAAACTGATGAAATAGCTTTTTAAAAAATATCTCCTTTTAAGATACTGTTTTTGCATTAAGGGGAAAATATATACACAATTACACATTTTAAAATCTCTATTTTATATCAGTTTTCTTAAAAAACAAGTCAACAGATATTTTCACATCTTTGCATTTAAGCAGCCCATTTCTTCTTTTTTTCTGAAATATTTATTCGCATTGGTAGTTTTTAACTGTAGTAAAACAGAGTAATCCTCTTACCAAGGTATAATACAGTTCCAGTTCCCGTGATGAGATATACTTAAAAAAATTGGACCCTCTTGCCATTATCATCTTAGCAGCATCTTAGCAAGCAGCATCTTAGCAGCAATAAAATCTTGAAGCACAGCATACACTAAACCCCCTGAGGTGTCTGAGCTATGAGTTGGGAGTCATTGAGCTAGTTCACCAGAGGCTCCTTACTGTTCTCCAGACCTTTGCAGGGAATCTTATAGTGTGCTGAGTCTCCTCCAGTCTCTTCTTTCTCTTCTGTCTCTACTTCTAGGTATCACAGTCAAGAACCTCTTTCAATTCCTCCTTCTAATCTTTTTAGCAAAGCCATCTACCTTACTGCATTGCTTATCAAAATCAATCTGGTTCTCTGCTCCCCTATTCCTTTTCTTATTTGCCTCACCTCCATGTTTACCTACCAGGCACGCTTGACCAGTTGGTGTTTGAATGCAGTGAACTACAGTCAAAAGGCTTGGGAGGGTTACTTTTACTTCTGTTTCCTTTTTTCTGTCCTCTTGTATTCTCATTGAAGGAACTGAATTTCTTCATTTAAAAACTTTTTTAAAATAAAGTTTAATATTGGGAATATATGATATTTAAACATATGTTCATCATAACAAGTACCTTATTATTAACACTTGTTATTAAAATAGGATACATTGGGATCCCTGGGTGGCGCAGCGGTTTGGCACCTGCCTTTGGCCCAGGGCGCGATCCTGGAGACCCGGGATCGAATCCCATGTCGGGCTACCGGTGCATGGAGCCTGCTTCTCCCTCTGCGCCTCTCTCTCTCTCTCTCTCTCTCTCTCTCTCATTCTCTCTCTCTCTGTGACTATCATAAATAAAGAAAAAAAATTAAAAAAAATAAAAAAATAAAATAGGATACATTAATATACAATTTGTGCTGAGGGAAATATTTTTCTGGTAAATTGAAAAAGTGAAAAAATTGTCATTAAGAAAAATCATATTTTGAATTTTTATAGACATATCTACTCTTATGAAATACTGTATTGTAACTTAATATTATGTTCACATGTTCCAAACTTCTTTAATGCTCATGTACCTCTTTGGGCATTACACTACAAGAAACCTAGGAGAGATGATGTAGATGTTAGTCATGTGAAGAAAGGCTCCCCTAATTATCACCAGTACACTACCATCTGCCATATCAAGGGCTATGGCCAGGTGCCATTTTAAAAATATACTGCCTTTAAATCAGCAGTGTTTTTTAGGGTCTCTAAAGGCTTATATGTTCTTCAGATTCTGGGTGATGTGAGAGGCCACACTTAGACATTGCTTAAACCATCAAAGACATGCTAACTGTATCTTAATTTTAAAATTCTCTATAGGATATGCTTCAATTTTCCCTGACAATCTAATTCTGTATTGGCTTGTTAGTGACCCTAAATTGCTTAGGCTATGGTAGAAAAGAATATATCTGTTCTGGTTCTATATTTAGTTGAGCCTGGAAAAAACTATATGATTAGTAGCATCCTCTACTTGCCCCATTACACACATGCACACAGGCACATACTTCTTTTCCAGAAGTCATAGCCCACAGGAGAACACAAATTGTGCCAGAGCAGCTCCTCAGAAGACATAATGTAGACAAGAAAAAAATGTGCCTTGTTTTTTTTCCCTCTACCCTTCCAGGAATCAAACCTGTTGTAGCGAGATGCTGCCATACATGTGTTTAATTCTGTAACCTCCGTCCTTTTCCAGAGTAACTCTGGTACTTCTGTCAGTACCCAGCTTATTGTTTTCAGAAAGACTGCTCTGTGCCTTCTCACTTGCACAGCTGACTCCTTGTTGATTTGTTCATGGGAAATAAGTGGTTCCCCATTTTCAGGACTGAATTTGGGATTACCTTGTGCTGGTAAAGCTACAAGACCATCAATTTGATAGATCATTAGAGTATAAGCATAATTAGAAACAGACTTATTAAAATTATAGACTTTATAGTAAATGAAAAGAATATTTGATGTATAATTGGATAATTTCTTTCAAAATATGAAATAAGAGGAAGAGATCATAAAGGAAATGTAGAAAGACTAGAATGCATCAAAATAATTTTAATTCAAAAAATATTAAATCAAATCAAAAGGCTAAGTGCTTGGGAATTTGTACAACATGTGACACAGGATTACCATCACTTTTATACAAGTTGCATTTGCAAATCGGTGTGAAAAAGTCTTCTGTGGAAAAATACGGAAGTGAGAATTTGAAAGGGCAGAGAATGGAAGGAAAGATGGTGGCAGAATAGGAGGATCTTAGGCTTGCCTCATCCCACAAATTAACTAGATAGCTATTAAATCATGCTAAACACACCAGAAATTGATCCAAAGACTTGTGGAACAAACTCCACAATTAAAAGTAGAGAAGAGGCCACATCAAAAAAGGCAGGAAGTACAGAGACACAGTTTGGGAAAGAATGGATTGTGGCCATTGCAGTCAGGACAAGGGGAGCCATGGTTGTGGAGAAGGGCAAGAGACAGACTAACACTTGGGGGAAACACACTGGGAAAATGAATTCCTGTAGCAGTGGACTTGGAAAGTGAGAGGAGCCAAATTTCTAATTTTTTGAGTTCCAGTAACTAGTGGGGCTTACAGCTTGGAGTTTTAAAGGTCAGCAGGCTTGGCTCCTGGAGAGCCCGGAGGCAATGGGACTGCTCTTATAGAGGTGGAGCAAAGAGCCTGTGGACATACAGTGACCTGAAGAGCACCTGAGGCACCCAGTGGAGAGGTTATTTGCTCATCTTGGAGCATGTTCCAGAGATACAGCTTCACAAAGAGACGCCTCTAGGAACAAAGGACCTGACAGACACCATTTCCCTCCCCCACCCTTCAGCATAGTCTCAGAGCCACCTGTGGGAACCACTGTGGGGCAGACACTACCTACATTGCTTACCCAAGCTCTGCCACCCCATGCTCTAGTGGAACTGCCCTTCCAGTTGTGCTTGCCTTGGTCCCAGAACAGCAGGACGCCACCTGCAGAAGATTAGCCAAAATCTTTGCCAACACTGCATCCCCAACGGCAGGAGTTTTCTGGAGCTAGGTTCTGGCAGCAGTAACAGTATATCTCATTTCACAAGCAGACTAGAACATATCTAGTTAAAACACACCACATTCAGACGGGGACCAAACACTGCCCACAACAGGCAAAGAAACCTCTGTAGATGACTGGCCTGAAGGATAAAGCAGCCAGGACACAACAGCAGAGCATGTACAGCACACATTGGAGATACTCCCAGAAGTTCCAGGCCTTGGGGAACAGGGGACACTACATAGAGCACTGCAGGACCTCGTCTTTATAAGGCCATTACCCTCAAAAACAAGAGATGTAGCTGACTTTCCTAAAATGAGAAGACAGAAAAATTTGTCCCAAATGAAAGAACAGGACAAGGCCATGGCCAGAGATCTAAATGAAACATGTAAGTAACAAGGCTGATAGAGAATTTAAAGTAATGAACATAAAGATACCTATTGGACTTGAGAAAATGACTGGAGGATATGAGTGAGACCCTTAACACAGAGATAAGGGATAACATAGCGGAGATAAAGGACTCAATAAATGAAGTAAAAAAGCATGTTTGGTGGAATGAATAGCATGATGGAAGAAGCAGAGGAACAAATTAATGACCTAGAGGTCAAAGTAATGGAAAGTAATCAAGCTGAACAACAGCAACAACAACAAAAAAAAAAAGAGTTATGCAAAATGAGAATAGACTGAGGGAACGCAGTGACTCCATTAAACATGATAACATTACTATGGAAGTCGCAGTAGAAGACAGAGAAAAGGGGGCAGAAAACTAATTCAACATAATAATAGCTAAAAACTTCCCTAATCTGGTAAGGAAACAGATACCCAGACCCAAGAATCACAGAGAACTACCAACAAAATCAACAGAAGCAGATCCACACCAGGACATACTGTGATAAAAATGGCAAATACAGTGATAAAAATAAACGGATTTTTCAACAGAAACTTTCCAAGCCAAAAGGGAGTGGCATGATACATTCACAGTGTGCATGGGAAAAATGTGCAGCCAAGAATACTCTAGCTAGCTAGGCTATCATTCAATTCAATTAGAAGGAGAATAAAGAGTTTCTCAGACAAATAAAAGCTAGAAGAGTTTATTATCAGTAAACCAGCCCTGCAAGAAATACTGAAGGGAGCTCTTTGTTGGAAAGGAAAGACCATAAATAAGTGGGAGTATGAAGGAAGGGAACAAAAAATAAAGCAGTAAAAATGAATATTTTTTATAAAGTCTCAGTCAAGGACCCACAAAATAAATGCTGTGAAACAAGATACCATCTACCTAAAACATGGGGAGGAGGGGAGTAAGAATGGATTCATCTTAATACAGATTCCTATATGCAGATGTTATATACAAGGCTAATGGTAAACACAAATCAATGGAGCACCTGGATGGCTCAGTAGTTGAGCTTCTGCC